TTCGCTAGAGTTCTTAAGAAATGCCCTGGTCTGGACCATTCCTCAAATGAGGTTTTCACCGGATCCCTATCTACCAAAATTTTGCCTTCCGATTCTGGCGAACGAATAATCATAGAGTCCTCCTCTTTTCTTTCCTCTTTGTTTTGTCCGGCGAGCGGAAAACAAAGAAATACTTGATTTATTCAACATAGTTCAACTCATTTCGTTTCACTATGTGAAACTCATTTCGTTTCAAATGAGTTGTTCGTTTTTGCAAAAACTAAAAACCCTAATTAAAAATGCAAAAAAATAGTGAATAAATGTAAAAAAAAGATTGAATATGATACGCCTTGGTTTTTCCAAGAAAGACATGGGAAAAAGACCATCTTTTCACTCGAAAGGAGTTATATACAGATTGGATCGATGACCTTCACCTGGAATGTGAGCAAATATATCATGTCGATTGCTCAACCGTACTTTGGCTATCTTACGTGGAGCTGAATTAGGCTTTTTCGGTGTTCTCATTGATGTTGGACATGAGTTCAAACCCCTTTATTATTTTTCTGGAATATTTTTGTTTTGATAAATGACAAACAGGATGATGAAATTCGAACGATGATCGAAAATTTACTTTTCGTATCGAGAAAAGAAAAGAGACGTATCAAGAAAGTTACGGGTTAAAAATCAACGGTCCCCCAACGCAATTTTTTTTGAAGTGATGTGAAGACTCCGAAGACTTTTAAATTTTTATTGAGTCTAGGATTCTTGTAAGGGTGACAATATCTTTTGCACAAAACAATTTAATTTCTGAGGGATAAAAATTATTTTTGAGTCAGTTGAAAATTTTTTTTTTTCTCTGTCCAAAATATTTTAGTGAGTGAGTTTCAAAATGAGTGTGTCAAAATTTCTTTTAAAAACATTAATTTTTAAAGTTATACAATTTTCCTTGGTGAGAAAAATATACTTTATATATTTTCTCGTGTATTGTTTGACACACAAAATAATCTTTGGACTCTTTTTTTTTTCTCCCCTACTCAAATTCATTGAATAAGGGAGATATAATCGTTGGAGCGCTTTTATTCTCGTTGTCTCAAACAACGAGTTAGAAGCCAAAGGGCTTCCAATCGCACTTGGCTTGGGCCCTTTGTGTTTGCGCATTATTTTCATGTTAATCGATTATTTACTCTAAAATAATCGATTAGATCCAGCGCAATTTCTCAGGTTTGAATTCTTAATCGATTTTCTCTCTTAAAATAATCGATTAGCTTGGACAGAGCCTCCTAATCGATTATTTGCTCCATTTTAATCGATTTTTAAGCTTTTCAGCAGGCTGCTCATTTTTGAACAATAATCGATTATTTCTCAGCAATTAATCGATTAGTTCGGACAGAGCCTATTAATCGATTATTT